CGCTGCCGCAAGTATGACACAGTTTAAAGGGCCGCTCAGCCTATTAAGCGCTGTAAGAGCTATAGATGAATAGAACTGTGGAATTCGAACCTATCTATACTACTAACTTATTTTGCTTCTAGAAAAAGGCAACAACAAAACTGTTAGCTCTGCCGCCAGGAGTTGCTGCATCAGGTGGAAGGGCTATCGCTGCCGAGTTCGCACCCATTGCTAGCTCCATTTACCAGTGTGTGGATCTGCAATGCATGTGCACCTATCTCAGAGGTACTTTGGAGTTCTCCAGAATATTTCTGAAACGGTCCTATTTTTTTCCATTTCAGGAAACCTTGCCCCCACTGGAGAATGCACGCTGCCCAATGGACAAATGTTGAAGAAAGCAATAAGGTAAATATTACACTGCCTAACTTTGCAGATCATTTGGTTGCTGGGTCGTCGTTTTGTGGTAGCCTCTTCGGAGGTGGTTCAAGCGATCTGGAAAAAGGCTCACTGTGCAGCAAAAGACGAATCCTGTCATGTATAAGTATCTATTTACCTTAATTTCTCCGCTTAAAGGAATGATCCGCAATTGATCCCTGAGAGAAATTAATAAAAAACCCGCTTGAAAGGATGCGGTTGGCAATAGACACCTTTGTAACGGTTTCATGGCGAAAAAATTTGAGGTAAAGGCGCTGAGGTGCAAAATGCTTTAATTACTCCCCCTTTTTCCAGTCCCCATCCGCCTTGACGCCGCTCTTTGAGGTTCATCTTCTGGTGAAAAGTTGCTACCGGACGATTAGCATAAAATGGAAGCTTCATTGTCGCATGCGGGGTAGCCGGACTCGTTATAGGGAATAAGATGTCTCAACACTCGTTCAGTCACCTTGTAATCACACAATTGCCTGAGCCCCTTCCCAACCTCTCTTGTCAACCTTATCAGATAGGTTGACAAGAGAGGTTGGGAAGCGTACATTTAGGAACCCGATAGTGCGACGGGTGAGATCTGCGCATGTGCAGGCTAACTGACGTCAAGCCTATAAAGAAAGGGTACAAGCATTATTGTGTAAAACACATGGGGGCCGTACTTGGCTGGGGGGGGGTCGTATTTGGTGGCTGTAGGGAGAAGGGGGTCGCATGTGCCTTTGAGTGGAATTTAACACATTGGGAAAAAATTTTCCCGGTTGTTGACTGGTGGTTTCGCGGCTTTTTCCGTTTCACATCTGCTATACCTCCCCTCCGTTGGTGACGCCGCCATAGTTCTATACAACTATTTTTCCGATACTTGAAAATAGAAGTTGGTTCTTGACAATCCCGCACTCCTCCTTCCCCCGCTCGACGGGGAATTTCCGGGTGAAAAAGTGGAAAATGTGGGAAATTTCGGAAAAAGTGGTAGGAAGTTGGGAACTTTTAGGAAAAAGGTAGGTAGGTATTGAGTAAGGGCGGTCGTGCTGACACGACCAATTCACATATTACGATTCTGTACCCTGATAAAAAATAATTAACAGAGAGCGATCAATGATTATAAATACATATTCCCCTTTCAGAACACGGTAAGCCTATGCAAACGATAACACTGGGGTCGTACTGGGCGGCCGGGGAGAGAAGAGGTCGTATCGCTGTGAGAAAGATTTACCAGATGGTTGACTTTTCCAGTTTCACGCACGCTATCCCCTAGTTGGCGGTGCAATAACTACTATTTCTGATATTTTTGGTAGGGATCGGAGGTCCCGGATCTTCTTCCCCGATAGACTGTAAAGGTTTGGGAAAATTCGAGAGAGAACGGAGGTAAGTTATGAAAGTTTGCCTTAGGCAGTGTACCGAGAGAGAACTTCAGGGGAGGGGCTGCCGGCAACAACGAAAAATACGCGATGATGTGTTCTGTTCCCCATATCTCTTGCTATTCACTCGGTGATCTGTCGAACTTGTTGGCGGTGAACTGCGACAGCTTTCAGATCGGATTTATGGCTGCGGAACTTTTTCAACTAACACAATCCTTGAAACAATACTTCAGCTTATTGTGCCCCTGGTTTTGAGCCATCCTGTTTCTGGAGAGCTATTTTGAAAAGTAATTGTAGTGAGTTGAACATTTTTAGAAAGGAGATACGTATGCTTACCGACGACGAACGTGAACGTTACTACGAGGCAGTTCGTATACTAAAGCAGGTAGAGGGTATTAGTGTTTACAAGGATTTTTTTGAAATATTCTCCATTAAAACTCCCTCAGCTTAATTGCAAAATACTGAAATAGTTCAAAGTTAGGAGTCGTCAGAAGTATTTAGAATGGCGAATATGATCGAATCTCTCGAATTCACTCTCAATCAACCAAGTCCGGCGGTGCTCATTCTGGTCCCGCTTTCTTACCGTGGCATCGTGAATTCACTAAAAGGTTTGTGTTTCTTCAAATCAGTCCATGTGAAGGATGAATAACAAGTTTAGGATCACAGGCAGGATACAGTATCGAAAACTTGTTATTCATCCTTCACATGGACTGATTTGAAGAAAGACAAACCTTTTAGTGAATTCACGATGCCACGGTAAGAAAGCGGGACCAGAATGAGCACCGCCCGACTTGGTTG